ACTGTTTTCTTGGCCTACGCGACTTGCATATTCCCGGAGTTTGAAGAGTGTTGCGCTGCCTATGCAGCACCCTCAGGACCACCTCATTTGTCTTTTGGTAGAACACGCAATGGCTGTTAGGGATGGCAAGACTAGTCATCCAGAGACTCTTCTGTCAATGGTGCTATTACCAAAGTGAGAGTGGATAATAGGTATGCAGGACCTTTGTCACCATCCACGCTCCTTATTACCTGATGGGTGCAAAGGTTTCCACATTCTTGCCAAATATTCATAATAATTAAACGTAATGCGTTTGTCAGTCAATTTGCGATTATAGTGTATTTTATTTGTCCGCGAAACACTGTGTGATTCATGGATATTGAAATAATTTGCTGTCAGAATTACAACAGTTCCTTCTTCATTTGTGGTATTCGCAGGTGTCTTAACAAGCCCCTAACAATTCATCTGTCATGTCATGTGCTTTTACAGATAGTCGAAACAACAGCCAAACTCAGTATGCAATGTTGCACTCTGTCCGGCTGTCCGGGATGAGGTCCATGTGACCCACGGAAGTGGTTAACTTAGCATGATGAAGGAAGAACCAAGTGCTAACGCTTGTTTAACCTCCAGCTCGACAGCTCTTTCCAGTGTGAATATGTGGACATTTTTCCAGCTCTCAGTTCCATGTTGTTCGTCAGCTCAACCAGTCCACGTCACAGAGGCTCTGCTGGTTCATATTTGACTGACGTGTCAAACCGGTCCATTGATGCCATTAGCGAGGCTCCCCATTCCATGCTACCATTGCAGAGCATGACACTATCATGTGCTTTCACATAGACATCACAGGTGTCAGTAGTGTACAAATATTTTTCACAAAGTTGGGTACTGTCGATGGGCATACGAGAAGTGGTTGAGTTTGTCCATTCCTTGACAGTATTCTATGGGTGTATGAATGTGCACAACTGCGAGTCGCTTTGAATATCGCAGCTTGTGGTAAAATGGGTCACGCGGTCATTTGGAAGAGGACTGGCAATGGAAGTGAGACTAAGTGAATGGAGGACATTTCTGACACTTACAAGTGCCTGTAGTAGCACAACGGTAGAATTTCATCAAGAAGGTTGTGAAATAGAACTCCAGATGCTTTGGATTATTTTTCGCATAGCCGTTCGGAAGAGGGCGATAGATCTGTAACCAGGATAGCACAAGCATTTAATACTTTTTTGCCTCTCTTGCACCCTAGAGGTACCCCACACCCTGCCATACAAACATTCCTATTTGTTGGGGACCTGTCTGATAGC